ACTGAATTATCGACATCTGTGAAGGCTGTGAGTTGGAGGCTGGGATTATCAAAACATCAGAAAGGATAAATCATTAAGAAAGCAGCTGTGAACCGTCTCGCTTTCATTTGGATGTTTGTTTTAATATGCAAGAATCCTTTTCATCTGACTAACTATACTGTAGCGTCGGTTTTGATTTGATTCGCGAAACGCACGACTGCCTGACGAAGCAAACTCCAAGGATCAAACGTGGGTAAAAATAGAATCAAGACACAGAAGATTGTTAAAGTCTGTATACAGTGTAAAGACAGAGGCGAGGAGATTAAAAAGCTGCCGTTTGGAGGTGAGGGTTTGGAGTGAGCGCAAAACACCAGAAAATACACTTTTTGTTGTAAAATAAGACCTAATATTGTGGTTAATTTTCCCAAATCTTTGCATAATGCGTGAAATAATCCACAAGATTCACCTAATTTAAACCACAAGAAAATCAACTAATGTAATTACCAAGTAAATGAGTCAAATATTATTACTCGGATACTTTATTTATCGCCGTAGGGAACTTGCATTTGACCCATCCTGCAAATGTCATTAGGGTCTTGGTCAGGAGCAGTGATCGATGTAGATTACCAGAGCTGGAGGATTTTACTTATAGTACAAGTTTTTAGTGTAAATGGAAACCGGAGCACCTGGAGGAAACCTACGCAAACACAGGGAGAATATGCAAACTCCACTCAGAAAGACCCTGTTGCGGCTGGGGATAGCCTCAACTCAGCCACTGGGTGGTACGGTGGCTGAGCGGATAGCACTCTCGCCTCTCAGCAAGAAGGTCCTGGGTTCGAATCCCGGTTGGACCAGGGCCTTTCTGAGTGGAGTTTGCATGTTCTCCCCGTGTTTGCGTAGGTTTCTTCCAGGTACTCTGGTTTCCCTTACCACTAAAAACATGCACATCCATCTCTGTGCGGAGTGAGAGGACAAATGCCCAAAAATAACAATTGTAAACCACTTTGTGACTCTGGCCTGCGGTGAAAAGGCGGTAGATAAATAAAGATTACTTACTTACTACCTGTTCCGACCGTGATTCGAACCCAGAACCTCCTTGCTGAGAGGCGAGAGTGCTAACCACTCTAATATTATTTTACATTAAGTGAAGACTAAAACAATACCTTTTAATCATCTAAAGTGTGAACACAATCAATTTCCTTCTCTCCAATAAAGGATAAATCGTGCTGAAAAATACAAGTCCATTTTCCGCTGATTTCGAGCGCATTCGGTGCATTTAGCGACGGGTGTAAGTTTGGTGCGTGAACGCTGTTGAACAAGTATCTGAAATGTTGTATGGAAAAATCCCATTTCAGGGTTCGCTGATTCTTTGGAAGCTCCTCATCCGGGCAGCCGTGAAATATATGCCCTTGTAAAGCTTGTCTATTCAATCAATTTCTCTATTTTCAATTACCGCCATTACAGGCCACGCCGCTGCTGCTGTAGCACAAAATGTATCCGAGTCAGTTTGGAGGAAAGAGCGTGATTACAGCGGGTTATGGATTCTGAGGAGCCGGAGACAAGACAACAAAGCAACTTTCAAATAGAGTTGGGAACATCACTTCACACCGATTTTCTTTACAAGTCGTAGACTAAGAATATTGCGAACAAACTGTTTTATGAGCCACTGAGTTACAATGTCCTTTTAGTTCCTAGTAAGTGCGTCATCTACAAATGTTTCTGATTGACAAGCCGGAGAACCAATCGGTGCAAAGTCAAAAAATATGTTAACCTCTTAAACTCCTGCATCATTTTGGCTTGTGCACAAAAGTTGGACATACCCAAATGTCTTTGCTTATTTAAAAACACATCTTACATGTCATATGCTTGTGTAATGCATCATTTTAAAGCTAGAGAAGCTTTGGAAAATACAAGTGGATATTCTTATTCCATGGACATTTACGGAGTGAAAGAGACTAAGCAATGATGGGGGAAGTCTAATTTGTTGAAGCAGCAGAAGACGAAAGGTAAAACACTTTTACAGACGTCATTTATTTTGTGCTCATATTATGTGTTATATCTTTTTAATGTAACTGATATTGTTTACACTTAAATGTAGATGTGAAAATATGCTTTAAAATTATATATACATGTAGCTTGTGGGTAATGAAGTTCAAAATACATTTGCTATTGCCAGCAGATGTATTATTTTCTTAAGGGGTTAACTCAAAGGAGTAGTATGTACAAATCTGGCCAAAAGTTGTACTGCAATCTCTCCCACTCTTCCTGACTCAGGTTGCCAGATATGCAGACAAATCCAGCTTGAACATAATAGTTAAATATACAGGAGTTTTGTCACCAACAAATCTGTAATCAACACCTTTTTCTCAAAGGCCCTGATAGAAATCCTTGTTTTATCCCTTGTTTTGTCATTAACTCATTGACTGCCAGCTGTTTTTTAATACTTCACTGATTCTCAAGAACCACAAAATACTAATTACTAAGACTATGTGAAAAAAAAACGTTAATGAAAGACTGGATTGTCTACTTTGATCAGCCAAAAATATGTTTGTTTCCAGCTGTTTGTATTGTCCTGTAATAGCCCAGTTAAATACAGGGACTCAGACAAATACGTCAATGGCAGTCAATGGGTAAGTAAGTAATGTTTATTTATATAGCGCATTTTACAGACTCATCCAAAGCACTTTACAATGGTCAGAGTTTGTTCCAACCATTCCACACACGGTGATGACCTTCTTGCTGAGAGACGAGAGTGCTATCCACTCAGCCACCGTGCCGCCCAAAACAAATGGTAAATGATTGATGATGATCATAACAAGATTTTTTTGTTTTTTGTTCTGCGGCCACCTGGTAATTTATTAGTGAGTTTAGCTCAGCGCGGTGAGTTCTGGCAACCGAGATCAAGGAGCTATTGAACTAATTTTGAAATCCAAATATTTCTGAACTACTGTTATCAGTTAAACACGTATTGGTAAAGAGCAGGTTTTATGAATGTCTTTGGACAGATTAGGGCCCTTTAATGATGACTTGACATGAACATCCAACATATTGCTACTTCAAGACATTCTGAGACATTCTGCGAACATCGCTCCCAACTACAGAAAAATAATGCACTTTTTCTTGTTATTTTCTGGACAAAGAAAGTCTTCAAAATTTAAGGAGGAAATGTTAACATGAAGCTGCGAAGTCCAAGCCCCTTTTGTTGGAGTGCACTCAAAGTTTCAAAACATGCAGGTCATACTCATTAAAAAGCTTATCATCCTATTTTTTTCTGTTTTGAAATGTAAAAAAACACAAGCTCTTTTGAACTTTTTTAGAAAGTTGTTTCCAGAACTTGGGAAGGGCTGGGCACTTTCAACCACACTGTGAAATGGTATATGTCTTTGGTTGGTATTACCATTTCTATTTCATCCCTCCATCACTTTAATGTATTATTAATTTTTTTACTTTATTGGATTTTGCAAAAAAACATACCTACAACAAGCATCACAAATACATGTGTGTATTACCATTTTTTAACCAGTGTTCTTCTGCTGGTTAGAGGCTAAAAGCACAGCAGCCATCCATTAATCAGTCAGCCTCTTGGACGAGCAGACAAAGTGTAAAACCCAAGCTTACATAAGAGTTGTTTACCCTCGGCTGGAGCATTATCGATGTACAGTCCTCCACACAGGCCTCGGCTTCTGAGAGCACCTCACACGGACATGTTATGCTTCTGTCGCATTTACCTCAATGGGACGTTATTGACGACACGACGGCTCTGACTCAGAGCGCGAAGATGCCAACCAGACAAATGTGGCAAAATTCCCATCTCTCGTCACTTGACCTTATTACATCAAGCACATCTTGTTGTCATATATTTGCACGGATGGTAGTCAAGGCTGTGAAGGTGTGTGTGTGTGTGAGTGGGTGTGTTTGTTTACGTGTGTGTGTTTGTGTGCATGTGTGAGTGGGTGTGTGTGCGTGTGCTATCATCACAGACAGACATTATCAAGATCTTGGTTTTAGTCATGAGTTTTACTGATATCTTGATCCTGCAGTGCTCAGCAATTACAGACCCATTTCAAATTTGCCTTTCTGGGAAGGTGTTAGAAAAGGCCGTTTACCTGCATGTAACAGTAATTAAAATAATATAGTGTTAGGGATAGATAATGCAATGGTGGAAATATGACTGACAGAAAAAAACTAGATTCGGTATGAGAGCTTGTGGGAATGAAGACACAATAAGAAGTATAACTGTATAAATAATAATTTGTATTGACAAAAATGTTGTAGACAGACAAAAAAAATAATTAGACCTTTGGACATAAACAACACATGGAAAAAACAGACCAATGAAAAGGGGAAAAAAATTGACACACAACAAAAAAACCTTAAACCTTTATGGTTTGAGTTCAGGTCCGTTCTTTGCTTAGAAAGCAGAGTTCAGTTTTTAGTTTTTTTTAGTTTCTTGTACTTTAGGTTGAAGTACTCAGTTTAGTTCAAAAACAAAGTTCAAATAAATTTTAATCCGTGTGGAAGCAAGAAAAATTATAATCCAAATCAAGGTGTCCTCTTGTACGGGTAAACGTTGGAAAAAATATATAAAGAGGTCCTACCAGTTGGTTGGTTCGTTTAGGGCTCAGCTCGCCACCTCTTACGAGGAATAGTGTTCAGGGTTCAGGGTAGGGAAAAAAACCTGACCGTCGAGTTCGAGAATTTTCTGTTTAGTTTCCTAGTAGTTCTGTGTGGAGTTCGTGAAGAGCTCAGCCGCAGTTCTGGTAACAGGAAGTGGGCTGCCGGTGTTCTGGGGCGCAGCCATTTTAACTATAACGCCACTGATGGCGGGCCAATGAATGGGTTATCCAGTTCGCCAGAGACGTGGGTTACAGGGTCCCCCCCTGATCTCATGTACGTCCCGGGACATGAGCTGGATGGACGACGATCAGGTGGCTGTACAGGTAAATCACCATAACCAACGTCATCAGGAATGGCGAGTGAAAACACTTTTCCGAGGCCTTCAAAGAGTGTTTGGATACTTTTCAGGACGGGATGGCCCAAATTGGTGTACTGAAATCTTTGGGGTGGGTGGCGTATTCTGGTGCTTCTTTTAGGTTGGGCTGCAAGCGGGGAATCGAGAGGATCAACAGCAGATTCAGGTGAGTTTTGGTCTGGAACGAGAATATCAGGTGAGTCGGGGACAGTAAGTGGTTCAGCAGGTAAGTCAGGGTCAGGATTAGGGGTCTCAGGTTGCCGTCCTTGTTGGTCCGGTCCATCTGGTATGTACTCAGTTTCACTTTCAGGTTGGACGGGATCTACAGGGACGGGGTCAGGTAAGTCAATAGGTAGGGTTTCAGGTTGTGTTGCAGGTTCTGGAATGTTTACAGTGGTATGGAATCGGACTGTTTTGAAAGAAGGTAATTGGTAGTCATTGTCTGGTGATATTTCGTCATCTGAAACGGGATCATCGGGTTCTGGATTGGATAACGTCATTTGGTGTTTTGCAGGTTTCTCTGGCGGTAAGGATTGGACTTCAGAGGTAAGTGGTAAGTATCCACAAGGTAGGAGTAAGTCGCGGTGGAGGGTTCTAACAGGGTTTTCTGCTTTTTCAGGATGTACAGTGTAGACAGGTACGTTTTCGGCTTTCTTGATGACAACATAAACTTGAGACTCCCACTTGTCTGCAATTTTGTGTTTACCCCTCAATCGGACGTTTCGTACAAGAACACGATCGCCAACTTCAAGCTCTGAGGCTATGACTTTTTGGTCAAAGCGCATTTTGTTCTTTTTCATGATCTTCTCAGCATTTTCGGAAGCCAGTTTATAACTGGTTTCAAGCTGAGATTTCAGTTTCTGGACATATTCGGAGTGATTGAGATTGGGTTTGATGACAGGCAGTCCGAAAACGAGGTCGATGGGGAGTCGTGGTTGGCGTCCGAACATTAGTTCGTATGGGGTGAATCCGGTTGTGTCATTTTTTGTGCAATTGTAAGCATGGACGTGTGGTTTGACGAAGTCCTTCCAATGGGTCTTTTGTTGTTCTCCAAGTGTTCCTAACATGTCCAGTAATGTGCGGTTGAATCTTTCGACGGGGTTTCCTCTGGGGTGATATGGGGTTGTTCTGATTTTCTGAATTCCTGCAAGAGTTCTTTTATGGTTTTCGATTCAAAGTCTGGACCTTGATCGCTGTGGATTTTCTGTGGGATACCGTAGTGTATGAACAAATTCTCCCACAAAGCCTTGGCTACAGTCTTTGCCTTTTGGTTTGGGGTTGGTATGGCAAGGGCGTATTTGGTGAAGTGATCCGTAATGACCAGGATATCTTTTATTTTACTTCGATCCGGTTCCAATGTCAGAAAATCAATACAAATGAGTTCAAGGGGGTGTGAAGTTCTAATATTGACCAGTGGAGCGGCTCTCTCTGGTAGTGCTTTTCGCTTAATGCATCGCTCACATGTCCTCACCTTGGTCTGTACATCGCTGGCCATTCGTGGCCAATAAAAGCGGTTTCGAACCAGATCCAAGGTCCGTTCAATGCCCATGTGGCCCATTTGATCATGAAGGCTGGACAAAACATCCGCACGACACTCTTGGGGTAGCACAAGCTGATATCGGAGCTGGTCGCCAAGCTGCCTTCTCCTCACGAGGACGCTGTTGTGGAGCTCCATGCGATTGAGGTCCCGTAGAAGGAGCGGCAGCTCTGGCAATTCATCCCTCAAAGAGGGGGTTGGTGAATCACCAGTCTCCAGTTGTGCGATTATGTGTCTCAGAACAGGATCTGTGCGTTGCTTGTCAGCAATGTCAGCTGGGCTCAGCGGAGGAACCAGAGAGGATACAAACTGCTCGTCAGCAGTGTAGCTATCTGGTAGGCTGCTGGGGGACATTGAGAGGGAATGGACGAGAGCATGTTCAGAAGTGGAATCGGAAGCACTGCATACCAGTTGTCGGTCAGAGAGAGCTTCCACGGTGCGTTGGTCGATTGTTATGACATTGGGGTATTCAAGATGTTGTTCGGTAAATCTGAGAATTCGTTCTCTTTCTTTCTGTGACATCGGATCGTTGACAAGTTCACCATGTGGTCTGCGTGAAAGTCCATCTGCGTCTGCATTTTGCTTGCCAGCTCTGTATGTGATCTTGAATGAGTAGGTGGAAAGTGCAGATAACCAGCGGTAACTTGTGGCGTCGAGTTTGGCTGAAGTGAGGAGGTATGTCAGGGGATTACTGTCGGTCACAACTGTGAAGGAGGTACCGTACAGATAGTCATTGAATTTCTCAGTAACTGCCCATTTAAGGGACAGAAACTCCAGCTTGTGGGCGGGGTATCTGGACTCACTCTGGGACAAGCCTCTGCTGGCATAAGCGATCACCCTTTTATGGCCTTCCTGTTCTTGATATAGAACAGCACCAAGCCCGGTGGAACTGGCGTCGGTGTGTAACAGGTAAGGAGTTTTGGGATCGGCAAAAGCAAGTACAGGTGCAGAGGTAAGTTTACATTTTATTGTTTCGAATGCTTCTTGGCATGCAGGTGTCCAACGACCACCAAATGGCTCTTTTGGATTGTAATACTGTTCTGGTTTGATAAAGAGTCTTTGTTTCTTCTGAGATGGTGGGTATCCGGAGGTAAGTTCATGCAGAGGTTTGACAATGTTTGAATAGCCTTGAACAAATCTTCTGTAATAGCCAGAAAATCCCAAGAAGGATCTGAGTTCTTTCAAGTTTTTTGGGATTGGCCAGGATTGCAATGCTTCGATTTTGTTTGGATCGGTTTCAACGCCGTATTGGGAAACTATGTGGCCGAGGTATCTGACGGAGGTCTGGAAAAAAGTGCATTTTTCCACTGAGAGTTTCAGTCCAAATTCCTTTAAGCGGTTTAGAACTGCCATCAATCTTTCTTCGTGTTGTTGCAGTGTCGGAGCAAACACGATCAAGTCGTCAATAAACACGAGAACCTCTCGCAAGTTCATCTCGCCGACACATTTTTCCATTAACCGTTGGAACGTAGATGGCGCATTTGTGACCCCTTGGGGCATTCGATTAAACTCCCAGAATCCTAATGGGCACACAAAAGCAGTTTTACATTTGTCCCTTTCCTCCATTTCAATTTGATAATACCCCGATTTTAAATCCAAAACTGAGAAATATCTTGATCCTGTAAGTGCTGTGAAAGTGTCTTCAAGTTTGGGAAGGGCGTATGCATCTTTTATTGTTTGTGTGTTGAGTTTCCTATAATCGATGCAAAGTCTGACACTGCCGTTCTTCTTCCTTACCACCACTATGGGCGATGCAAATGGTGATTCAGATTCCCGGATCACTCCGGAGTCCAACAGCTCCTGGAGATGTTTCCTGACAGCGTCCAGGTCTTGGGGGTGTATGGGCCGTGGTCGCTGTTTGCATGGGGATGGATCATTAAGTTTTATTTGATGTTTCACTTTGTCAGTTCTGCCAAAATCCAAGTCATGCCTTGCGAAGACTTCGGGAATACTGTTCAGTTTTTCGATGATTCTGGTTTTCCATTCTGGTGTCAAAGGTGAGTTTTCAAAGTTGTAGTTGTAAAGGGGTGTTGGTGAAGGTCGGGACGGAGATTCTGGACAGCTTTGTTCAGCACAGGACACAGACTGGAATGTGCTGATTTCTGCTAGCATGGCTCTGGGAGGTAAGATGACGTTGTGGTCTGACTCGTTCGTGACAGGTACTAGCAACAGGAAAGGGAATTGACTGGTGGGGCTGATGAGACTGGATTGGATCATTAAACCACCAGGTAACTGGAATGACTTTGGGTGTTCAATCAGTATAGTTTTTTCAGCTTGCAGGGAGTGTGTAGTTGCAATACCTTTCAAAAATACAGTCTTGCCAGCTGGAATGGATTGTGGAGTGGCGCTGTAGAGTTTTACAGTTTCATACTGTTCTTCGCTGTTCAGTTTGTGTCTGTGTTGAAGGGTTTGCATGACTGACCGGTAACCATATGGGACTGGACGGAAATCGGGAGTTGTTTCGTGGTGTAATGCGTAAACAATGTCCAGAGTGTTTGTTCCAATCAGAAGAGTTGGTTGGTGGGGTTTGAAATCTGGTACCACTAGGGCCAGTGTAGAAATGGTTATTTGAGTTCCCACAAAGTCGGGAGGAAATGTGATGTCCAGATTTATAAAGCCCAGGTATGGCACAGTCTGACCGTTGGCTCCTTCAACTTCAAGGATGTCGTTCAATGGTTTCAGTGGATGGTCGGGAAGATTTGTCCTGTAGAAGGATTCTGGAAGTGTTGTAACTTGTGATCCAGTGTCCAGTAAACAGTTTATTGGTGTATCTTTGATCATGACTTGAGCTGTACATTTCATTCCTATTAATCCTTTTGGCAGTGGTGTATTGTGTTGTCTTAGTTCTTGGTTGGGACATTGTGTTGAGGCAGCCCCTGCTTGTCCCGCAGGAGAGACTGATTTTAGTTTAAATGGTTGTTGTTCTGATCCCACCTTTCTTGTTTCTGTCGGAGTTGATATTTCTTCTGTTGTACCAGTGTTGGGTTAGCAGGGTGGTTGCATGTGGTGGGAATATGACCATCTTCCCCACACTTGTAACAGAAGCCGGCTCTGGGTCTTGTGTTCTGGGTTCTGCCGCCACCTGTTGACTGGTAGGGCGATTCTTTGTTTCGGTGTGTCTTGGAGGTCTGAGCCAGAAGTGCTGCCATCTGATCTTGAAGTTTCTTCATTTGGGTCTAATTCATTTATTGAAGCAGAGTCCGAGTCGGTGTGGTTGCAGGGACAGGTACTTTGGACATGAAGAGTGGCACGTTGCTTGGAGGATGTGATGTGTCTCTTCATCAGAGTGTCCTTAGCTTGTTGCCGGTCCTCTTCAGTCCTCAGCAGAAGGAGCAGTTCGGAGAAGGATGGTGGGTTATCTCGCTTAGCTTCCAACTGCAGCTTGCTGATTATTCCGTTGTCCCAGCACCCTCTGCAGAACTGCTTCAGCAAATGCTTGTCCACCTCGGATGCAGTTACTCCACCACGCTTGACAACAGTGTTGAGAGCTAGGAGCAGCCGTTGCAGGTAGCTTGAGGACTTCTCACCGGGGTCTTGAAGAGTGTTGAGAAATTGTGCGAAAAGTTCTTCACCATCTTGTACCGTGGAATACGCTGAATCAAGTACTTGTAGGTAGATGGATGGTAAAGTGTCCGGTTTTAGTCCTCTGACGACATCAGCAGCGGGTGACAGGAGGCTTTCAATGATCTTTCGGGTGACATGCAAGGGGTGAATGTTTACATCTGCCAACAATAGCTCAATATGGGATCGCCAGGTTTCATAATCAGTTTCGTTTGAGGTTTTCGGTTCTTTTCCAGAGAATGGGCGGAGTCTGATGGTGGGAAGTGATTGTGATGCGAATTCACCAGCTCTCACAATGTGTTCCACCACCATCTTCTGTACCTGTGGTGGATTCATGTCTTCCGGAATAAGTGGTGGAAATTGGGCCCCTGGTACAGAACCACCTGTGGCTCCTGCTTCTTCGTGTTCAGCGCGCAGTACCCCAGGCTGGCCAGGCAAGGGATGTACAGGGTTCTCTAGAGTCTGCAGTTGGTCTCGGTGTCCACCAGGGGGCTCCACACTCTCCAAGTGCTCACTTATCTGGGACATGACATCTTGTAAAACAAGTTCAAGCTTTTGTCCGCTTCTTCTTGCCATTTTCTTTAGTTCATCCATGTAATTTGGGGGAAGTGGTGGGGTTGGAGTTACACTACTCTCCCTCAAGGTGTCACTTTCAGTTAATGTTACTATCATTTTAAGTTCTGGGTCAGTGCTCGGTACATGTGTGTATGGAAGTATTTTCGCGAGTTCTACAATTGAAGACTCATACTTATACTCAACAACCAGGTTTTTTCCATCAACTACTCTTACTTTATAAGGACCAAAGTCTTTTAATTTATCAAGTAGTTCCCGATCTTTGCTGGTGTTTGTAGCACCAGCAACAGTGACACACTGTTTAATCTTTAACCCTGAACATTTCAAAAAACCTTCCATTTTTGGATTAAATCAAAAAAATACAAATCTCAGAATGTTAACCGTGCGTAATCACTTCTTCATTCATTCACAAGCTCCTGGCTAGCTCGCCATTTGTAACAGATATTAAAATAATATAGTGTTAGGGATAGTTAATGCAATGGTGGAAATATAAAAAACTAGATTCGGTATGAGAGCTTGTGGGAATGAAGACACAATAAGAAGTATAACTGTATAAATAATAATTTGTATTGACAAAAATGTTGTAGACAGACAAAAACAATAATTAGACCTTTGGACATAAACAACACATGGAAAAAACAGACCAATGAAAAGGGGAAAAAAATTGACACAACAAAAAAACCTTAAACCTTTATGGTTTGAGTTCAGGTCCGTTCTTTGCTTAGAAAGCAGAGTTCAGTTTTTAGTTTTTTTTAGTTTCTTGTACTTTAGGTTGAAGTACTCAGTTTAGTTCAAAAACAAAGTTCAAATAAATTTTAATCCGTGTGGAAGCAAGAAAAATTATAATCCAAATCAAGGTGTCCTCTTGTACGGGTAAACGTTGGAAAAAAAATATAAAGAGGTCCTACCAGTTGGTTGGTTCGTTTAGGGCTCAGCTCGCCACCTCTTACGAGGAATAGTGTTCAGGGTTCAGGGTAGGGAAAAAAACCTGACCGTCGAGTTCGAGAATTTTCTGTTTAGTTTCCTAGTAGTTCTGTGTGGAGTTCGTGAAGAGCTCAGCCGCAGTTCTGGTAACAGGAAGTGGGCTGCCGGTGTTCTGGGGCGCAGCCATTTTAACTATAGCGCCACTGATGGCGGGCCAATGAATGGGTTATCCAGTTCGCCAGAGACGTGGGTTACATGCAGCTAAACAATTTCCTGCTGCTGAATAATGTTTTTGACCTGTTTCAATCAGGTTTCAGGCCCCACCACAGCACAGAAACTACCCTGATAAAAGTTTCCAACGACATCCGCGTCAACAGTGACTTAGGCAAAGCCACAGTGTTGGTCCTGTTGGATCTCAGTGCAGCCTTTGACACTGTTGATCACGAGATCCTCCTGCAGAGACTTGAGGGATGGGTTGGCATCACTGGCACTGCCTTAAGTTGGTGCAAGTCCTACTTAGAGGACAGACAGTACTTTGTTGAGATTGGGGACTGTGTTTCAGACCAGGTGGCCTTAACAAGTGGAGTGCCCCAAGGTTCATTTCTGGGCCCCCTTCTTTTTAATATTTATACAAAAAAAATAAAAAATTATATTTTTATTCATTTTCTTAAACTGTCTTTTGTATTTGTTTTTACAGTCTGTTTTTAAATTGTTTTTAAATGTTGCCGATGTGAAGCACTTTGGGTTGCATTCTGTATGAACTGTGCTATTGATTGATTGATATTACTGTGACTATATTTCAGAAGTACCATTGCATTAGTCCTGGTCTCAGCTCAGGTCTCCACTTCCTGTGGCTCAGAGAATAGACTTTAAAACAGCTCTGCTTGTTACAAGTCTCTCCATGGCCTCGCACCAAAATATATTAGTGACATGTTAGTCCCATATGAACCAGCCCGGACTCTGAGGAGCACAGGGACTGGACTCCTGTTAGTGCCCAGAGTCAGAACTAAACATGGGGAGGCTGCTTTTCAGATTCATGCTGCTAAAATCTGGAACAGTCTTCCTGAAGATGTGAGACAGGCCTCCTCAATGACAATGTTTAAAACCAGGTTAAAGACAGTTCTGTTTAGCTGTGCATACAACTGAGGGATTTTATATTTTTATCTTTCTTTTTAATGTTCTGTGATTATTTATGATTTTAATGGTTTCTTTTTTTGTTCAGCACTTTGAGTTGCCTTGTGTATGAATTGTGCTATATAAATAAACTTGCCTTGCCTTGCCTAAAGTAGAAACATGTAAGATTTTCATGTGAAGTCATTAAATGGCCCTAATCTGTCAAAAGGCATTCATAAACATGCTTTTTTCCAATACTTTAACAGTAGTTCAGAGATATTTGGATTTCAAAATGAGTTTTCCAGCCCCTAAATCTTGTTATTGTTTTCATTTCGATGTCCCGCCCTCCACCGTTTCACCAATCAGAAAATCCGTGATTTGGGTCGCCAGAACTCACCGAAATTCATTTTATTCAGCGCCATGTAAAGAGGTAACAGTTGTAAATAAAACAAGAAAACAAAAGTAAATACATTTTATCCCTCTACCTCCCTGAAGGTTTTACCCAAACTAACAAACTACCAACAGTATTTGTATCATTACATGCCGACAAAACAACAACTTATTCTTGTATAGCCCTAAATCACAACAGCAGTCATCTCAGAGACTTAACAAAACCATTGAAATCACCAACACAGATCAGAGAATCATCAGTTAAAACACAAAACGATACACATATGTATTGGTCCATAGGGAGAGACCACACATATTTACTGTTCTTTTTGAGTTCTTCCAAAATGAGGATTGCGGGGATGCCTTTGTGAAAATGGTGTTGGTTATAAATTTGTTGTGGACAAAAAATATCTGGCAACCTGAGTCAGCGAGAGTGCAGTGCCACTTTTGCTCAGATTTTTACATACTGCTCCTTTAAAGCAGCTATGTTTGTTACAAGTCTCTCCATGACATCTGTGTTATGTTAATGTCATATGAACCAACTGGGACTCTGAGGAGCACAGGGACTGGCCTCCTGCTGGGACTCTGAGGAGCACAGGGACTGGCCCCCTGCTGGTCCCAGAGTCAGGACTAAACATGGGGAGACAGCATTTTCAAAGTGCTGGCAGAGGATGCCCTTGGGTTTACCTTTTCTGTCTGAAAAAGCTGATCCAAAAGATGCGACAGATGGCAAAATAAATAATCCATGTGAAAACGCAAAGAACCAAGCTGTTTGGAGAGCAAGGAATTAGTTCGGCGGATATTATTGCATTGTTCTTTTGGGAGTGTGGTTCCCTAGCTTTAATAGTGCTACAGTGTGCAACTACAAGGAGAACAAGGCTCGGATGGTGCGAGTCGGTCGGGCGGCGCTCTCCGCGGTGCATGGGGACAGAGTGAATCGGACTCATGCTGAAAAGGAGAGTGAAACATATGGAGGACATGCAGCGGTCTCACACGTCGAGTCAAGCTGCTCACTTTAGCATCGCCGCGGAGTCCGGGTCCAGTCCAAGAGCCGCTGAGATCCCCCCTGCGCTCCCTGATTAGCTGCACCAGCGTGGACACGTACGTCAGGGGAAAAAAAACCCCAAAAAATATTGAAATATGTGGCAGGCTATAATTCACAAAAGCTGAATAAAAAGAGAAAAGAGCAGTGTTGGGGAATAACTGAATCCATGACATATTCAGAATAGTCTTTCTGAGTAACAGTATTCCATTACAGTTACTACTTTTTAGTGTAATATCTGGATTACAGTTAATTTCTGAAAATCACAGGAATACAGACTTTCTCACATTAAGTTTAAAGATAAAAAAAACAATAACAAATATTCTTAAAGTGAAGGTTCTATTTGTTTCTAGTTGTCAAATGCAGCTGTTTGACTTGTTTTTTTTACAAAATTAAACACAATATATATTTTTGTATTTAATTAAACTTTTATTGAGGTTGTAGATTTAAATATTTTGAAAGTTTGAAAGTTTTGTCAATAAACCTTAATGATAATAAATGTATGTTTGATAATAAAAACATGTTTAATAATAATACATATAAATAATACAAAATTATTTTAATTATTTAAAAATATTCTGAATATAGGTACTACTTTTTTTTTAAATAACAAAATACTACATAGAATAATATCATATGTATTCAGTTCTCTGGAACAGCTTACAATTTCAAAGTATTCCACCTAACTCTAGAAGAGAGTTATTACGTTTACAAGGCTAGAATATGTTGTCCGAAAAAGGTGATAAAAAGGAAGGACTGCAAAATAAAAGTGTAATTAATTTAAATAAAATCACATCCAATATAAGCTTTTTCCAAGGGACTCAAAACCCATCTTTTTATTACGGCGTACAGCTAATTTCTTAGTCTCTTTATTTGATTTTATATTCGTTATACTTTTATTTATGCTGCTGACTTTGGAGCACTTTGAGATTTGGAGTCAAATGTAAAGTGCATTATAAATAAAATGTATTATTATTATCATTTTTATTAGTATAAACACACACATGGGGATAACAATGGTGACATAAATGAGGGAGGAACAGGCAATCAATATAGAAAAAAATAAACTAAAAAAAAGGACACAGGATCAATAGAACAGAATCAAATCATAAAATGCATCAGCTCGTGAACGCCAAAAACTCTCATCCATATGCAGACAGAAAAGCTATGCTCGAGAATATTCGTAAAAGCATCACTTTTTAGTAAAGAAATATATTTTAAAAATTCACAATCATTTTGCTTTTATATCAAAAATAAAAATGAAAACATGACAACATTTGCAAATACCCAAATCATAATTTTACATACTTTTGCAACCCACTAGTGTGTCTTGAAACTACTTCCTTGTTAAGTGTCCTTGAATCAAGAAATCTAATTAAATAGTCATTAACAGCTCTCTGATTACACATCATTGACGTATAATACAAATTGTTGTCAAAAATGATTTGACTGACGTGTTCAGAATTTGGTACAGAAATAAGGCCAA